CTCTTCTCGCTTCCCTTGCAGAGCACTACAAACATCACTGGTTTCCTGAGAAACCGTTCAAAGGCTCTGGGTATCGCTGCATCCGGATCAATCACAAAATGGACCCCATTATCAGCAAGGCAGCTAGCCAGATTGGACTCAGCCTACCACAACTCTACCAGCTCCTGCCCAGCGAGCTCACGCTCTGGGTGGACCCCTACGAGGTCTCCTACCGCATCGGTGAAGACGGCTCCATCTGTGTCTTATACGAAGCGACTGCAACCAAACCTGTGAGCTCCTACGGGATGCTTACCTGCAAGAACCAGATGATGTTAGGTCGCACCAGTCCTTCCAAAAACTACATCATGACTGTCTCCAGCTAAATATTCCTCTTGTCCTTACACTGCCAAGACACAGGCTACTGTATACCTCACCTGAGGATCTATTTTTAAGATGAAGAGCTATTTATATTTTTTAAAAAAATCCAAGAAAATCCAAAATTAAAATATCGGGCACTGCTTTGAACAGAAGCTGTGCTCTAGGTGCCTTTTTTAAAGCTGTTGCAAGCTTGAGTTTTTATTACGAAGCCGATATCTACCTAATTAGTGTTGGATGGCAATTTTGGGCTGGCTTGCTCACTTGAGCAGCTTGGAATGGAGGAAGAGGGGGAATAGCCAGGCTGGGAAGTGTGGCTTGGTGGTGGGAGATGTCTGTGTCACCTTCTCACCATCCTGGTACCCAACAGTATTGCTGAATATTGCAATACTGCTGGAGAAGGGATGGAGTTGCTGTCTTTCCTCCACTAATTTCTTCACTCCCCAGCTGGTCTGATCTCCATGGGGCCTGGATACAGTGTTTGGGGGAACCTTATCTCAGGACTGGGTGATGCTGTGGAACCTGGGATCCCTCTTCCTTTGCTCTTGCACATCTCCTCTGGACCCACTTACCCTGTGAGTGTTGCATCTCTGCTCTGCTCCCAGTGCAAAGGGAGGGGAGTCGTGGCCTTTCTCCAGCCTCTCCATCTTCCCTGTTTGCTGCTGAACTGAAAGGGGATCCACATGGCTATTGGTGTCCTGTGAAGTGGAGCAAGGCAGAGATGCACTGAGGGGTCAGGCTGTGCACAGAGGAGGTCCCAAGGATGAATATTGCAGCTACTGTGGTGGCACTGGAGTGCTGTGGTTGTTCCTGGTGCTCCCCAGTACCTGGCTATCACCCACTGCTTGCTGCACACTGAGAAGGGTACCCTGAAACCAGCACTGAGCAGCTGTGAATTACAAAGCCTTTCTCCTCTGTGGGGCTTAGACATCAGCCCATGACCTGTTCTTGTGTGACCTCTCTGTCCTCCAAGAGTAGAGTCTGGCCTCTCTTGCTTGTAGAAGTTGCCTAATCCAATGCTGATGACTTGCTGTGTCACTTCTCCAGAAGAGCTGAAGCAACTCACCTTGTGCCGTAGAGGTTGGTGTGTGAGAAACCCCTTTGCCCTCTCTCTTAAAATCAGAAGTATTGGGAGTCTCTTCCCCATGTGTGTGGGATGCTCAGATGCTTTGGTGTCCTCATGTTGCTTTTAAAGTTACAGCACTTCTTCCCTCCCTCCTCTGGGTGATCAGCATGTGGCTGTCCCTGGGAGCTGTCTCCTGATTCCTTGGTAAGGGACACTCTTTGGTTCTGATCTCTTGGTACATAACTGTTTTGCACAATTCATGCCTGGTCCTGTGCTTTGTCTATTGAAGAAAAATTCCTCATGGTGTCCCAGTGGTACTTGTGTTCAGGGAGACTTTGCCTGAGTGATGTTCAGGATTTGACCCTTAAACTGCTCTGGCTAGCTACAAATGGGGTGGGAGCTGAAAATTCTGCCCTAAGAACTTTACCTGCCTGTTGGGAATGAGCCTTTACTAAGATGTTTTATGTCCATTGCCTTTTTACTAACCAGCTGGTGCTCCTCCAGTCATCCTGGGAGAAGTGATTAAAAAAAAAAGCAGGGCATTGATGTGGTTGTTGGTAATGAAACTTTCCCAGATGTGTCTCTCAACACACCACTTTTCTTTTTTTTTTTAACCTTCCTCTTTTCTGACCTGGCAGCTGACAGGCATAACCAGAGTTGTTTTTGCCCAACCTTTGATGAATCAAGTTCTCGGACATTTGTGCAATATATTTCCAAATCTTGGGCGCTCTGGGAGAGGAAGGAAGCCTCCCATCTGCCATAGTTCTTAGTTTATTTCTTAAAATATATTAAAAAAAAAAAAAATGAGCACAGCTCCCCAACTCTGACTACTAATGTGAAACAGTAAATTTGGATTTTTGTAAGCTTCAAATCATGAATTCTAGAACTGGAAAACCAGCTTCAATTCTTAGATCCTTTTAAAATGTCAAGTGGTGAGTTATTTGTCCTTGAACAGTAATAGCAAACTGTGGCTCTGAAGTTGCATCACTTCCCTCTGCATCACTTTGAATTTCTCATATCAGCAAAGCAGAAGCTGAAATGAAGCACTGGGGCTTTTCCCTTGGTGAACTTGTGCAATAGGTGACCTCACCAAGAGGGGAGTACTTGAGAACTTCCAAAAAGCAAATTCCCTTTTCAAGGAAAAGGGATCTCTGTGCTTTTCTTGGAGTCCTCACTTAACCTGCTTACATGGAAAGCCCACGATGAGAACTGCATCCAGGATGAGCAGCGTTTGCTTTGCTGGACTCCTTGGCTGGATGTGGAGTTTCCTGAAGGCTGGTACTTCCTTGGGTTAGAATTTGTCATGATTAAAGCAGTTTTAAGATTTACCTCCCCTTTTACACTGTTCCCTCCCTCTTAACCAGAAAAAGTGATTTCAGGAACAACAGCCCACACCAAAGGAATACACTAGAATTGCTCTTAACATACCCCCTACTTCCAGAACCAAAATAGCCAAGTCTCATTCTTTTTGTCCCTGGTGTGGAGGAGTCTGATGTTAAAGGTGTCTGGTTTTAGCTTCTCGGGTATAATCCATTTCTCTCTTGTAGCTGGTTACATGTAAAAGCTGTGAATTCGTGTGCTCTGTTGCCTTCTGCCTCCAAGCCTGATACTCCACTGCAGAGCTGAATGGTGTGTGTTTTTTTTTGAGACAGTATATTTGAGGGGTTTCCTGTCTTTATTATTATTTTTTTTAACAAGCTGGACTGTTGAACGGGACCTGCTTTTTTTTCTATTTGGTGAAAATGGTAGAAAGTTTGTAAGCTACACTTAGAGGAGGGAGTGGATGGTTACTAATTGTATAGTAGTGTTTTTATATCCAGAATGTACAGATCCTTTGACAGACGTATGCTTTTGTTACTTTAATAAAAATGTAGCAGTATAAAACAAGCCTTGTTTTTTGTTTTTGTGGGGGTTTTTGTTATTTTTGTTGTGGTTTTTTTTTTTCTGGGAACTGTTACCTGCTCACAAAGAGGGTGAGGGTTGGGATTGCAGCCTAAATCCCACCCTGCAAATGCTGTGGGCTTGGTTAAAGTGTGGATGACTGCTAATATCCAACTGTGTTAAGGAGGAGGTCTAGAAAAAAAGCTGCTTAGTCAACATGTGCTGACTCTCTCAACCTGAGGAATTAAGGCTGGGAATTGGTTTGATGACTAATGCAAGGCTGTGGGTGTCCTGCCCTCTCCTTCCCTGTGCTGACTGCTGGGTTCTGGCTTGGGCAGTGGGGGATTTATTCAGTGCAGGGTTGTAGAAATCCTGTGTTTTGCCAGAGCATGAAGATTTTATGTAGTTGACTACCAGATCTCTTACCCAACCCTAGGAATGGCATAAAAAAAGTCTTGGAAAGAAGAGAAGAATGATCTGAGTGAGGCACAGGGCCAGCTCCTCATTAAGCCTCTCTGCCTCCAATGTCCTTCCAAGGGTGACTGAGCCAGCAGAGGAGGAAGGGTGAGAGATCATGGGATTGAAATGGTCAGGCATGTGGAGGATGCTCTGAACCTGTCATGATGAAGGCAGCTGGGGTTGATTCACTGCAGATCCTGTTGTGGCTGTGTCAAGAGGCTGGTGACTGCAGCATGGGGCTGTGACCCTCCTTCCCTGGGATGGAGATGTCCAGCTCATGTGTTTAACTCCCATCTGCACTCATCTTCAAGCTGACCTGATTTAAGGACCTTAGCTAAATCAACTTATGTTAGTTTTGGTCCAAAACTCCCATGTTTATGGAGTTCAGGAGGGCTTGAGTTGCAGCCTTCAGGTTCTTTGTGATCCACCCTAACATGTTAACTGTGCTGGTGCTTTCCTGGAGCTACGATGCCAAGAGGGGACACACACCTGGTCCTACTGCTGTCCCTGGTGGGTACAAAGCTGCTTCCTCCCCTCCCATTTTTAACATAATATGCCACCTCTGAGAGGAAAACAATTTGTGGGCTGATTTTGCTGCTCTGTCAAAGCCGCTCCTTTTTGAACTCATCCCTTCATTAGTTTCCATAAACACACCCAAATTGCTGCTGCTTGTGAAACAGGGCTGTTGGGGAGGAATGGGCGTCCCATTCAGTCACTGATTAGCTTAGGAGTCATCCAGGTTCAAAGGCTTGGTGAAGTCAGATGATGGTGGCCTTCCTCCCTCTGGCTTGTCTGGACCAGCATAGTGTGTCTGGACTGGTGTGCCATGGTTTGTGGCCCATTTTCAGGCTGGCATAGTCCATACCATGGCCAGCCTGGTGTGGTCCTGCATGCCGTGGCCCATGGCTGGTATTTGGGCCAGCAGCAGAGTCAAGATCATTTAAAATCTGAGTTACTCACAGCCAAGATAAAAATACAGCTCTTACACCATGGAGTGTTTAGTGAGGAGTCAACCCTACCCACGCTGTAACCAGATCCCCGACAGCCTTTTAATAGGTGACTTATCTACTATTTTTATTATGCTTGTCATTTTTTCTTCTGGTAGGACCATGATACCTGGTGTGCAAGCTGGCTTAGTGTGGAGGTGTATCTTTATCTGCCCCCCTCAAAGCCCTTTCTAGGCATTTTGATGCTGAGCTGCAGTTCTTGGCACATTTTCTCATGGTGAGATCCCTGAGCACATCAGAGGATCAGCTCAGGGGCACAGGAGAAGTGTGTCAGGTACAGCAGCTCTGAAAAAGACTGAAAGTAAAACCACACTCATCCATGGCTGCCACCTTCTCCCTCTTGAAATCCAGACTTGTTTTCTGCTGAGTCTCTTGCTGGGTTTCTGTTGGGACTTTTTTATTCAGGCTGGACAGGGAAGTGTCTGATTCAAGGAGAATGGGTTGAATGTTGTCCTCTGTGATCTGTGTGTGTGCTGTAGCAGTGCTCTCAGGCCTTCCTCACAGGAGCTGGGGTGGTTTTTGGGGGCTGATCTGTTGGAGAAACACAGATTGTACAAAGCCCAGATGAGGAACATCCTGACCCAATGGCACCACCCACCCAGAACAGGGTCCTCCCGGGTCCATGAGGATATTTTGGTTGACTCCTGGCACAATGTTTGTTTGATTTTATTTTTTTTTTAAATTTTTTTGTGTGT